AGAGTAGAGGGACTATCAAAACGCCAATAGAAGGTACAAGTACACTACAATCCCATTTTGGATCGGATGACTGACAAACACTACAAGTCACCCTTCCTCCATCGGAGACTCCAGGTAGTCTAGTAGACAAGCCCGCTGGTACCACCATCAAACTCGTCACACGTAAAAGCAACTCGCCGAGTGCTCCACCTCGAAACTCTCCGACACCCAAAAATGTCTCAAGTCCCCGCAGCAAAGATTCACTGGTGAAATCAGTCCAAAGGACAAAAAAAGAAGAGCCACTCGGCACCGCGGAGCAAGGTCTGCCGAAGAAGCGCACTCAAATTGCAGTGGAGGCTAAAAAGAAACAAGTCCCGAGTGTACACAAGAAGAAGCAGACGGGGATAAGTTCTGGCTTGTCGGTGATTGTTACACAGAAAAGCAAGAGTTCTCACAAGGGGAAGCCTCACGCCAAGCAGGCTAAAAATCCCAAGAAAACCGTTCCCAGTGACGAAAAAAAGCCGATGGCTGACACCGGCAAAGACTCTGGTGGGTGGTGGAGTACACTAGGGTCCTGATGGTTGGTATAGAAATCATGGCAGGTATCGCCTCACTGTGTTGATTCAAGTCTGCTGACTAGACTGTTTCAGTATCGGTAATTTTATTAAACTCTTTTTTATTTCGACCCTATTTTCCAAAAAATAATAACACGTCGGTATGATCCCCATAGCATTCGGAAAGGCCATGAGACGGGCCGAATGACCCCGCGAATCGGTTTCAGACACACATATTGAGTCATGTTATGTCCGCTGCCCGAGCGCCTTGTGAATCCTCGATCCTGTCATGTCAACCGACGCCGTAATTCTCAAGCCACCACAAAAGACGGAGGTCAAAAAATCGCATCGAACTTGGCCAAGAAGTCGCTAAAAAACAGTCGGTTGGATTTTAGACCCAAAACCGTGCTTATTTGGGGAGATCCCTAGTATGTGTGTGTCGCGGCAAATGGTTGTGTTGACGGATGCCGTGTTGTCACAGCAAGCGAACCTGGTGGCGAATTCGACCCGCCTTGCTCCCTGACTGGCAAACGGCCCCGTCTTTTTTTTTTTAATCCCGACCACTTCGCTTACGTGGAAAGGCTTGGTATTATAATATTTATCAGGCAGAATCAGCTGCGCAGTAGTTTTGGCCCTTCTCTCTTTCCCCCCAACCACGCTCTTTCATGTCTGCAATCGCCCTTGGAATCACTCTTTTACTGGCCCTAACGGCCCCAGCACACTCAACCTCTATCAGTCGGCGCGCCGCGTCTGTTTATTCCACATGCAAGCATGATTTCGCATATACCTGGGATGATGTACGCTCTTGGCTTGTGCGCTGGAAACACTTGCTAATTTTCACTCTTTTAGGGCCCGTATAGTATGTACATTACCGTGAGAGGTCGTATATAGATGGCTAAACGCTTTTCCTCCCCCAGCATGGCAAGAAGAAATTGTAGATGAATTTAGCTGTATCGGTGGCAAAACAACATTCTGTGCGTACACTCAAGCTGCTAATACCTGAAACTAATGATACTCGCAGTTGTAAATGGAAACCATGACGGCTGTATATATTCAGAGGACAACGTCCAACGTCTTCGATATGCCTTTGAGGCTGGCCATCAAATTGGCATTCAATCTTGGTCGTCAGTCTCATCTATACAACTTATTTACGCAGTATCTCACGCCGCACCGCAGACGGGCTGACCTTTCTCAGCTTTCCGAGGCCGACATCGATACCGAAATTCAACGCCTCGACATAGCGCTTATCAAGATCCTCGGTGTCAAGGCCAAATTTATCAGGTACCTGCTCCCGACATATTTCCCTCTATGTCCGCTAACACCCCATAAGGCCAACCACATCGCTTCCTGATTCAGTCGCCTCCTACATTGAAAGCAAATGGGGCAAGACCATCGTCGGCTACGACAAATACAGCGACGATTACTCTGGGGATCTCAGCCAAAGTATTTACCAATTCTATCAAGGACTCGCTGCGGAAGGTTCTGGCCACCCGCACATGTCAATGGCTCACCAGACCCAGGCGCCAGCTTTGGACGCCCTTGACCTGGGTTCGGCAGAGGCCTTGATAGACGCCGGCATCAAGCTTGTCACCGCTGCACAATGCCTTGATCTTCCCGCATATGAAACCGTCGGTGGATACGGCGTCCGAGATAGCACATGGACCTGCGACTCGTACACCCCACCAAGCACAAGCCCGACCTGCACTCAGACATATACTACCAAGGACGGTGACAAGACGTGCTCAAAAATTGCTTCCAAGTTTAGTGGTGTCAGTGCAACTGACATCTACCTCGCCAATCCCTTCTTGAATTGCGCTGATGTCTGGTCGGGGACCCCCGTTTGCATCCCAACTGGTTTGTTTCAGTCTCTTCGTCGTAGGATTGCTAACCTAATATTTCATTTATAGCTTCGTCGTCTCCTCCCAAGGTTGACTGCGTGCAAACCTATACAGCTTCGCAAGGAGACACCTGCCAGAGTATCGCCACCAAATTCGGAACCACCGCCGAAAAGGTTCATGCCGCCAACACATTCGTGACCTGCACCGATATCTGTGAGTGAGAGAATGACGCATACACCATGTCCACGATGCTAATATTACAATAGGGTCCGGAACTTCTATTTGCGTTCCAGCGGCAGCAAACGCCCCCACCTGCGTTTCGACCTATTATTCCAAGTCTGGTGCGTTTACTCTCAAAATTTGTCGGTCACAAACGAGCTGACAATCCACACAGGCGATACCTGCGACTCGATTGGTTCGAAGAATGGCTTGACCGGCACCGCTATCAAGAATGCAAACACATTCCTTACCTGCACCGACATCTGGGCCGGTACACCTATTTGCATTCCTAGTGGTTAGTCTTCATTCTTTTCGTCTATGAGCCCCATTGACCTGATCATTCGTATAGGAGGCAACACTGGCACCACCAATCCTACTACTCCCACCACCCCTACCTGCGCTTCCACGTACTATTCGAAAGCTGGCGATACTTGCGATTCGATTGGTACCAAGAATGGATTGACCGGTACTGCCATCAAGAACGCAAACACCTTCCTCACTTGCACCGATATCTGGGCTGGCACACCTATTTGCATCCCTACTGGTTAGTACTTTTGCTTTCTACCAGAGGTACCATTGGACTGATCATTCCCGTTTAGGAGGTACCACAAACCCAACTACCCCCACCACCCCTACGTGCGCTTCGACATATTATTCGAAATCTGGTGATACCTGCGACTCGATTGGTACCAAGAATGGATTGACCGGTACCGCCATCAAGAACGCAAACACCTTCCTCGCTTGCACCGACATCTGGGCTGGTACACCTATTTGCATCCCTACCGGTTAGTCTCACGTCTATCTCCGACGAGCCTCACTGACCATTCTTATTTAGGTGGTTCCAACACCCCCACTTGCGTCTCTCAGTACACTGCCGGAGACAACGAGACCTGCACCACCGTCGGCACCAAGTTTGGTCTGTCCGCCACCGCGATCTACAACGCCAACACGTTCGTCGGGTGTAACGACATTTGGAAGGGAACCAACTTGTGCATTCCTCCAGGTGGCCGTGACTGTACCAACACCATCAAGTCCTGGCCTGGAGCGACTTGTAATGACATTGCCCGTGCCTATAGCACGACCGCCGAAAATATCAAGTTCTGGTTCGTGTTCTCACCTTTGTCATTTCTTCTTTCGTGCTAACCGACTTGGTAGGAACGCGTGGATCAACTGTAATGATATCTGGACCGACACAAACCTCTGTGTTGCTCACTAATCACTCTCCACTCAAAAGAAGGAAGAGGGCAAGAAAAAAAATTAATACTCGAAGCTTACCGCAGGGAGGATTTAAAGCAGACATTGATTGAGCTGGTAATCAAACTCGAACACTTTTACAAAACTATGAACCCCTCCACTTCCAATCGTTACCCAACTTTTGCCGTTCTTTGAACTCCTTCCACTCGCTTGCGTTGCTGGTACTTTACCCTAGTTACTAGAACTATTGTTTCCCTTGGGATGTGAATTGGTCGTTTTCTATATACCACTCATCCGGCCATTCGTTTTCATAATCGTCGGTGACCTTGAAACTGAATATCACAACCGTACATATGTAAACTTGTCCGCTCGCCAACTCTTGCTGGCAAATAGACTAAAGGGTTTAGACCAGACTCTCGCCTAAAATGAAACTTATCGGACTGAATGATTAGAAAGGAAATGACTAGTTTTTATTGAAACTAGCGAGCACAACTCTTCCAACTTGCAAAGTTTTCGGCAAGCTAGGAACACCTACATACAATCGTGACAAATGTACGAAAGGGTTTGATTAAGGTCCGATCACCTCTTGGCCAAGAAGTCAAAAAGCAGAGCGGGAGCAGTAGACCACTGGACAATGAATAAACGGAGAAGCATCTCCGCTCGTTCAGGAACATGGTGCGAGTTTGGCGGTCAAAAGAGATGGTGGGAGGGATTTAGCGGGGGTAGAGACGTAAAAGGATAGTTAGTCCGACTATTAAGTTCGGCCGTTACCGTATCGTAAATATAGATAACACACAAGAAAGGACAGATTTTTCCCGGTGGAGTGACCGGTGGCGTGGTGGTGTGATCACGCAAGGCCTACAACTCGGATAAAAGGGAGACCAAGCGAGGGACCAGGGTGAAACACACGAATTCGATGGCGTAACGAGCGAGCCAAAGAGAAAGAAAATAGGATATGAAACAGTATAGTCCTTTATGTTCAAGAAATAGTGTTTAATTGTCCGTTTGAACCTCTTTGCGATTAGTGCCTGACACACTGTGAAGCGAGTTAGAGACCAGGTCTAGAGTGGATCTTGTTTATGAAATACTTACGACTGGTGTACCGGTCCAAATGTCATTGCAGTTCAAGAACGTGTTCCTGTAGGTACATGTTAGTAATGAATATCAACGAAACTGAGGGTACGCACCAGGCCTGGATTTGAGCACCCGAGACACCGTAT